TGTGGATCATGACAAGCTACGGACAACATTGCAAAGTATGAGTATTCCAGAACACTTCATTGTACTCATGAGGAATCTGTACATGGACCAAGAAGCAGTTGTTCAACCAGAACATGGGAACACTGAATGGTATAAAATTTTAAAAGGTGTGCAACAAGGTTGTATTCTTTCACCATACTTATTCAACCTCTATGCTGAGCAAATAATCCGAGAAGCTGGATTCTATAAAGAAAAACGTGGCATCAGGATTGGAGGAAGACTCGTTAACAACCTGCGATATGCAGATGATACAACCTTGCTTGCTGAAAGTGAAGAGAATTTAAAATATTTACTGATGAAGATCAAAGAGCACAGCCTTCAGCATGGATTACTTCTCAATGTAAAGAAAACAGAAATCCTCACCACTGGACCAATAAACAACATTCTTATAAACAGAAAAAAGATTGAAGTTGTCAAGGACTTCATTCTTCTTGGATCAACTATTAACACTCATGGAAGCAGCAGTCAAGAAATCAAAGGACATATTGCATTAGGCAAATCTGCACAAGACCGTTTTAAAGTGTTGAAGAGCAAAGATGTCAGCTTGAGGACTAAGGTGCGCCTGACCCAAGCCATGGTATTCTCAATAACCCCATATGCATGCAAAAGCTAGACAGTGAATAAGGAAGACTGTAGAAGAATTGATGCTTTTGAGTTTTGGTGTTGGAGGAGAATATTGAAAGTGCCATGGGCTGCCAAAAGAACCAATAGATCCGTTTTGGAAGAAGTGCAGCCAGAGTGCTCCTTGGAGGCCAAAATGGCCAAACTTCGTCTCTCATACTTTGGACGTATTGTCAGGAGAGACCAGTCACTGGAGAAGGATATCATGTTTGGTAAGGTGGAGGGTCAGAGATAAAGAGGAAGACCCCCAACGAGATGGATTGGCCAAGTTGAAGCATCGATGGACTCAAGCGTGACAATAGTAATGAGGTTGGCCCAGGATCAGGCAGTGTTTCGTTCTGCTGTGCATAAAGTGGCTATGGGTTGGTACCGACTTGATGACACCTAACAATAACAACAATAAGTGCAGCCAAATATTTTGGAGTCTTATTAACTTGGCTTCTCATCTGGGCTCCTACTTTACAATTATGTGATCTTAGATAAGTTATTTAATATCTCTGAGCCTTGGCCTTACCTGGAAAAGGGAGTTGATAATGAGATAATGTACATGAGCATTTGGCATCATACCTAGCAGTGGCATACCAAGGTGAGAATTCTGTTGCAGGCTGTAAAGAATTGAAAAGCAATAATAAAACCAACTAAAAATCTATGCTTTTTACCATCATCGTGTGCCTACAGTTCTAAGCAATTTCACTGATAAAGTATCTCTCCTTGCTGTCTCCACCTCCTGTACACCATGCTATCTAAATAATTATAGAAACTTAATAGTAAATAGCAATTATAATCAGTATTTAATAAAATTAAGTAAGAACTGAGGGCTCCATTGTAATTTAAAACTTAAGCGTGATTTGGAGCTTTTATTGCAGGTTCTTTCTCTGTGCACTTCCTGTCTCCCCCAGTTCTCTGGTTTGCAGGGCTCACCCATAGTAGACCATTTCCAAGACTTCAGGAAGGCACACAAGGTGTATTCCTTTCAGGAACCACCTCTAAAGAGTTTCCTCCTGTCAATTCCATAAAAGTTTGAGTTTTTCTCCCCTTCCCTCTTACTTGCTTTTTAACTCTGATATTTCATAAGCACATTTTCTATTGTATGGGGGATAGTTCAAAAAGCTCATAGAAACATTCTATTCTTTTCTAATTCCAATTTTCTGAAAAATTTTTGACATTTCCTGATATTCTTCAGCATAATTGTAGATCATGTACCTGTATCCAAGTCAGCCTTATTTTTGAAGACCAAAATAACTCCTCTTAAACATTCTGTACCTTGTAAAGTCAGTTCCTAAATGTATGTTCTATCACGTAAAACCCTTTATTAAGGTTTTTGTTAATAGTTAGTTTGTGTGAGTTTTTGTAGAACCTAGCCTGAGCTTTCTTTATATACTTTCTCCAACTCACCTGCCTCTTAGTTATTCTTTAGCATATAATAATGAATCTTAAGCATCATATTTGTTCACTGTAGCCCCTGTCTCCTGTACTTTGGGTGAATTGCTGATTTGAGACAAATATTGTAGACAAGTAGTCATTCAGGAAGCATTAATGCAATGCTCAGATAGTACTTAAGTGCCTGAGTTCTTGAGTTAATACCCTGCTTCCTAACACTATTAAGCTAACACTATTAAGCCACCTTAAGCAGGTTACCAAACCTCTCTGAGCTTTGTTTTTTTATTTGTGAAATGAGTAAAGATACCTAGCTCTTAAATGTGATAATGGTTGGAGGGTGCTATATTAATTACCTTTTGCTGCCATTACAATTTTTCACAAATTTAATGGCTTGAAACAACACAAATTAGTTATCTTACAATTCTGTAGGTCAGAAGTCTGACACGGGCTCCATGGGAAGAATGTCCTTGCCACTCTGAGCTTCTAGATGCTCCCTATATTCCTTCACTGGTGGTCCCTTCCTCCATCTTCAAGCCAGCAACAATAGGTCAAGTCTCTTTAATACCTTCATTCTCTGATTTTCTGCATCTGAGAAAGGTTTTCCAATTTTAAATATGCGTGTGATTAGATTAGACCCACATGGATACTCCAGGACAGTCGCTCCATCTCAGGGTCCTTAATCTTAATCAAATCTGCAAAGTCCCTTTTGCTACCTAAAGTAACATATTGACAGGTTCCAATGATTAGGGCAAGGACATCTTTGGGGGCCATTATTCTGTCTCCAGTAGTGCTTAGTAAGGACTCTTTGTAAGGTATCTATAAGTGACAGTCATTCAAGGCTGCAGTGTTCTGGGATTCCAGATGCAAATGTGACCCTTAGGCACAAATACTTTACAGCCTGGTGGGAAAATGAGAAGACCGAAATCTGAAATGATTGTGACCCAGAAAGAGTATCCAGAGTGTCCAGATTCAACCCTCTGGTTAGCAAGTGATCTCGCAATTTTGAACAAAGTCAGCATGTCACTAATATTTGTATAATGTAAGTGGAGAACCTGAAAATGCATTTTAATCTTTGTAGGACAATGGGTAAGCAGAAGGAATGCTTTACTGACTAGACAGGGAAATTAGATGTTCATATCTCAATTCTTCGTACTAGACCCACTGGACTTATTTGTTCATTCAGGCAGCAGATATGTGCCAGGTACTGTGACTGGTATTGGGGCTGTAGTCAACACAATGCATAAACCTGCTTTCTCAGAGCTCATTATTTTGGAAGAAACAGTCATGTCAATATAGCCAAAATATAGTTGGACTGCGGGAACCTACAGAAAGGATACCTCCCTCCCAAATATGCAGGACATGGAAGGCATCCTGAAGGAAGTGCATATAAGCTGAGACCTGAAGAATGAGTTGTAGTTTATCAGTTAGAATGCTTTGGGCTGCAGGTAATGGCCCAGCTCATATTTCTTAAGCAATAATTAACTGGTTGGCTCACTTAAACAGACAATGCAGGAGTAGGGTAGACCTCAAGGTAGGTTACTTTGTTCACTCTGTCTCCATTTTTCTGTGACTCCCTCAGCTGGGCTCTTCTCTATGTTAGTATCACCCATAGGTTGGCTTCTTTCATGGTGGCAAAATGAATGCAGCAATTCCTGGTGTCACATCAGTACACTCAGCACCCATAGGGAGAAAAACATCTCTTCCATAGACTCACTCCTAAGAATAAGAAAACTCCTTTTCCAGAAGCGCCCAGCAGCCACTCACCCTTATATCTGATTGAGGTTTCAGGCTCATTCTGTGACCAAGGGGATGCCACATTATATGTAACCTATACCTGAACCTATCACTGTGGCAGGGACAATGGGTAGGTTTGCCCTTCCTGAAACATATGGCCTACTTGGGACAGAAAAATAATTAGATGAAAACCAAAATGCTTTAGGAATGAGGGAGGATGAGAAGTCATAAAGAACAGAATGTGGGAATGCCTAGTGACTTATTCTCTCCTTCAACTATGCAAGACTTCTTTCTGCCCCTTCATACCTCATGTTTATTTATGGATTCTGTTTCCTCATAACACTAACTTTGTCATGAGCCTTCATGATTTTCTGTGCATGCATTTGACTTCAGCATCTGCTGCTAAATCTGTTTCTCAGTTTAGAGCCCCAAAATCAAGGCGCTGGTCCAATTACCGTACTTTATTTACCAGACTTCACCTACTTGAAGTAAGTTTTAGATGATCTGAAGCTTTGTTTTGAGTAGAACTGTATTCCCTGCATCTGAATAGTGCGTTGCATGCAGTAGGTGCTCATTAAATGCATAAATAAATGTAAAATCAGCCTTCCAGCTAATTGGCTACCATTGAGTCAGATGCTCCCCTACACAAATTATCTGACTGAAGAGATACCCCTCTAGTGGTAGGAGCAGAAATTTATCTGGAGCCCACTTTCACTGCTTCCTATATTTTTTGTCAGGAGGAACCAATCGCTGGAGAAGGGGATCATGTTTGGTAAGGTGGAGGGTCAGAGAAAAAGAGGAAGACCACCAGTGAGATGGATTGGCCAAGTGGCAGCATCAGTGGGCTCAACAAGAGTAGCAACAATAGTGAGGTTGGCCCAGGATCAGGCAGTGTTTCATTCTGCTGTGCATAAGGTTGCTATGAGTCGGTACCGACTCAATGGCACCTAACAACAACAACATATTTTCTGAGCTTCAGTTTATTTTTCCTCAAAATTGAATCAAAGAAACATGTGCTTATGGCTCAAGTAAGATCATGAATATGAAAGTACGTTATATGTCGTAAGATGCGAGGCAGTTTAATTCTCTTCTGGTCACTCTTACGTACCTGGGAGCGATTGAAATAGAAAGGCTGGTTTCCCTAATCCGTTCCACTTCTCCATGTTGAGTACCCTAGAACTTTTAACCCATTCACTCTCTTCTTGTCCCTTCCCTTTGCTCCCCAGGGTCACTCAGGATGTGTGAACTGTCTGGAATGGAATGAGAAAGGAGAGTAAGTATGAGCTCAAACACCTAGCAGCTGCTGGAGAAGGGAATGGGGAGGCCAGGAAAAGAGGATTTTCACTCCTCTTTGTGGATCAAAAGAAAAGAATGCATCCAACAGACTCTAAGGTTAATTTGTAATTGCAACACGCAGCTAAGCAATTAATCCCAGATGGATGGAAGGTTGGATGACCATCCATGCCTTACTTTTTCAACAAGCAAGGTGTTTAAGAAATATTGGGAAATTCTCAGGGCAAAATAGAAGAGAATCAAGCTAGCCTTAAATTCTATGACATATGCTGGCCTTCAAGGTCTTTGTAGCTAATTCCTTATCAGTGGCAATTTGGGATAAGGGAAGGGGGCCAGAAACTTGAGAAGTCAGAAATGCTCACTCTGCTTGCAGCTTGTTGGCTTCTGGTTCTGATGACCAGCACACGATTGTATGGGACCCACTGCACCACAAGAAGCTGCTCTCCATGCACACAGGACACACTGCAAATATCTTCTCTGTCAAGGTGAGCAGAATAAGCCAGAGAGCAAGTAAAAGGGGTAACTGATCTATGGGCACGGTCATGTTTGTATATGTTTGTCACAGGTACCCCTGTGGTACATGGAGTCACAGACAGACACTCTTTGGATCTGAGCAACAGAAAGATTGGCTGTTGGAACCCACCAGCTGCAGGACAAAGATGAGACAGTCTTCACTGAAACCTCTTCTTTATTCCATGCTCTGTTTCCTCTCTTAGAGTCAAGAAACCAACTTTAAATAAATATGTTTGTATGTGGGTGGCAATAGTGGAGGCTATGGTTTTGAGCATGAACTTTGATAGTAGGCAGATTTGGCTCCCCTGTCTGCTTATTGTAAGCTGTATGAACTGGGCAAATTAACTATTTCTCTGAGCCTGTTTTCACATCTATAAAATGGAAATAGCAGTCCATAAGATTGGTATTACAGTTCAACAAAATAATTGATAAAAAGCACATGGCACAGGTACTTGAACTATTCCACCTTTCTGTAGGAAATGAATCAGTTGGTTTGTTGGTGGGGGAGAGTAGAGCTGAGGAAAGGTGAGAAGGGAACTTGACAAATATCTTCAGACCTTTGAAGCCCTGTTATGCGGAAGTGGTGTGAGACTCATCCTTTATGGTGCCAAAGAACACCACACACAGGGTCTTATATAGAATAAAAAACCAAAACAACATTGTCCTGACCCATGTGTGTGTGTAGTACTATAATCATAGGTTTTCAATGGTTGTGACCTTTTGGAACTTCATCACCAGGTTTTCTTCTGAGGCACCTCTAGATTTAAACCTCCAGATTATTCAGTTAGCAGCAGAGTGCTTAACTATCTGTCTCACCAGGGCTCCATTTTACATAGAGCAGATCCTCAAAAAACAAAAGAGAACAGACAAGATTAGTAGCTCTCAGCCCTTAGAAGCAAATGTAGACCCAGTGGAAGAATTATGTATACTTAGAGCTATATGAAAAAGATGGAATGGGCCCTCTGGGTCCTAGCATTGAGGGGTTCTACTCACTGGGGAATGCCATCTACTGGATGGAAGGTTGGAGGAAAAGGCCTTTAAGAACTTTCAAGCTCTCAGATTTGATAATAGATGTATGTGTGAGAGTGGGTTGTCCTTTGGAAAGCCTCATTAATAAATAATTTCCTAAATAATACCAAGAGAAACTAAAAGATACCTGAACAACAGGGCAGACTAGAGAGCTCAAATTCTATATTTCCATAAACCCTGCCTTTTTCCCAGACTCTGATTCTCATCTCATATTTTAAAAACCTATTCTCAATGAATTTCTGTAGCTGAAAGTTGTCATAAGTTACCCCTTTTAGAAATACAACAATACTGATTCACTTCTTTCATGGTTAACAGAGACTTCTTTCTGCCCCTAAAAGGTTTTAGGCCCAGTTTTAGTCTGTGCATTAGGTTGCTAACTGAAAGATTGCCTATTTGAACCCACCAGCTACAGGAAAAATATGAGACAGTTTGCTTCTGTAAAGAGGTACAGCATCAGAACCACTGTGGAGCAGTTCTACTGTAGCCTAAAGGATAGCTCTAAGTTGGAACCGACGCTATGGCAGTGGGTTAGAGTGTACAGTCAGATATGGGGAGGGGGCCTAAGCCACCAATTTGGCATAGTAGAACACAAAATGTTGTTCAGAGACCACCATTTGATGATGGTCTTGATATTCCCTAACAGTAAAACCTTGGGCAAGGCACTTATATCAACAAGCTATCAGCCTCTATTGCAAAAGAAGAAATAAATATATGTATCCATATAAGGAGCTCTGGTAGCTTAGTGGTTAAGAATCAGGCCACTAATCTCACAGTTAGCAATTTAAAACTACCACCCATTACGCGGGAGAAAGGTGAGGCTTTTCTGCTCCCGTAAAGATTTACAGCCTCAGAAACCCTGTACAGGGTCGCTATGGGTCAGAACTGACTCCACGACACATAACAACAACCAATGTATATATATATATACAAATGTATATGTATATAAAATATATACAAACGTATATATATGCAAGTTGTTGTGAAGTATCATTGAATCTGTTCCAACTCATAGCGACCCCATATGGGATTTCTAAGGAGCAGCTGGTGGGTTTGAACCACCAACCTTGTGGTTCGCAGTCCAGTGCTTATCTTACAGCACCACACCATACTTATAGTTTAGTTCTACCACCCAGAGAGAGTATTCTCTCTCTCTCTTTCTATATAAATATACATTTTGTTTATGTTGTTAAATGCTGTCTAGTTGATTCCAGCTCATAGCACCCCTGCATAGGGTTTCCAAGAAGTGGCTGGTGAGTTTGAACCACTAACCTTGCAGTCTAGTGCATTTAAACATTGTGTGCCTAGAGTTAGTTACTACTCTTAGTGACCCTGTATAGGGTTTCCTAGGCAGTAAATATTTACGGGAGCAGAAAGTCTCATCTTTCTCCCATGGAACGGGTGGTAGTTTCGAACTGCTGATCCTGAGATTAGCAGCCCAACTGGTAACCATTTAGTATGCTACCAGATTGATACGTAGAATTCTCTCCCTGGGTATAACTACAGACAAATATATGTAGCCCGTGAGCTCCCCCTGGTGGCAACTATAGGATGTGGTGAGTATGGCTTTCTTAAAGGCCCACCTATGTATTTTTGCTATACATGGCTGGCATGTATGATGTATGCTGTTTCCAGATAAGATTAAAGAACTAATGGTTGTTCCTAACAATCATTAAATTCTTCCTTTTCCAGATAACCCCTTTCTTGTTGATCCATTAGAGAAGCGTATATGGAAAGAGTAATTGTTGCTCTTGCATCAACATTTTTTTTAAATCAAGTGGGACTTTAGCTGCTAAATGCAGAATGATACCCCAACCACCACTAAGGATCCTTGTGGCTTGGGAGGAAGTCTCCTTCCTCAAGCTCTGACATTTAGGTGTTGCTAGGAGTCCTGGTGTGGCGCTATGGGTTAATGCACCAGACTGCAAAGCCGTTTAGAACTATAAGGTCGGCGGGTCAAGCTTACCAGCTGCTCCTTGGAAACTTATACAGGGTTGCTATGGGTCAGAATCGACTCAATGGCACTTAACAACAACAACAAGTGTTTGTTAGTATAAAGAGTACTATGAGCATTTCTAACTGGTCCCTTTTGTATTTTTGGATTATTTCCTTATGGCATGAGTCTCAGAAGTAAAAGTTTTAGGTCAAAAGATGTAAGTAGTTATCTTATCTATGTAATCTACTACCAGATTGTTTTGCAGAAACATTTTAACCATTTATAAAAACTCATTACCGTAAAATACTAAAAGTTCTTTTTAATACCAACATATTACTTACTCTCCAGATTAAATAGTCATGTGAGGTAATATGGCATATGGGGATACAAAAGACTTGCAGAATGTTAATGCTGATCCTCAAATTTTAATGGCGTTGTTTTAAGTATCAGAAGTTCCTAGGAGGTACAAATTGTTAATGCGCTCAACTACTAACCAAACACTTGAAGGTTTGAGTTCACCAATAGATGCCTTAGAAGAAAGTCCTAGAGATTTACTTTTTAAAATCAGCTATTGAAAACCCTATGGAGCACACTGGTACTCTGACACCATGGTGGTCACCATGAGTTGGATTGACTCAACAGTCTCTGGTAACTGCTCTAAGTAGTAATAAAATAAAGTACTCACCCCTAGTATCTGCTGTTGTTATTAAGTACCATCAAGTCACTTCTGACTCATAGCAACTCAGGGTTTCCAAGGAGCAGCTGGTGGGTTTGAACTGCCAACTTTTTGGTTAGCAGTTCAGTGCTGATCCTTCAGTGCCACACTAGGTATCTTCTTGTTAAGTGCCATCAAGTCAGTTCCTACTCGTAGTGACTTAGGATTTCCAAGAAGCAGCTGGTGAGTTTGAACCACTGACCTTGCAGTCCAGTGCTTTATCCTGCAATGCCACACCAGGACACCAGGTATCTAACACATGGTAAATACTAAATGGAGTCCTGGAGTGGTGTTGTGGGTTAATGCACTGGACTGCCAAATCAGTTTGAACTCCAAGGTCAGTAGTTCAAGCTCACATGCCACTCCTTGGAAACCCTATACAGGTCACTATGGGTCGGAACCGACTCAATGGAACTTAACAACAACAATGACTTTGGGAAGAATCAAAGAAAAAGGTTTCCTCAGGTAGTCCAATTTGGCATAGGTCAGGACCACTCTGGTAAAGTAAAGATTTGTTGTTGTTGTTAAGCATCATGGAGTTGGTCCCAACTCATAGTAACCCTGCACAGGGTTTCCGAGGCTGCAAATTTTTACGGGAGCAGAAAGTCTCATCTTTCTCCTATGGAACAGCTGGTAGTTTCGAACTGCCGACCTTGAGGTTAGCAGCCCAATTCATAACCACTATATGTGTCCTGATTGTAACCTTTGGGCCTATAAGCTCCTGCTAAAGTCAAGAGGATTTTTGGTGGATTGCCACATTGTCTAATGTAGAGAGGGAAAGAGGGTCCTGATATCCAGGTTAGTGTCTGGACCTGGCCACCAGCCCTACCTTACAGCCCCCACGCCCACGCCCAATCCTTTCTCTCATCTCTCCTGAGCAGTTTCTGCCTCATGCGGGGGACCGCATCTTGATCACTGGGGCAGCTGACTCCAAGGTACATGTCCATGACCTGACAGTAAAGGAGACGATCCACATGTTTGGAGACCACACAAACCGGGTGAAGCGCATCGCCACGGCGCCAATGTGGCCTAACACATTCTGGAGTGCTGCTGAGGATGGGCTTATCCGGTAAGGGCCAAGCACCATGTGGGGCCTGTGCCACCCCAGCTCCCTCCATCCCACCAGCCCATACTACTTCCCTTCCACAGATTGAGCACCTTCCTGTCAGCAGATTCCATTCTCATTTGTCAGCCCATACAAACTCAGCTGGAAACATGTGTTTACCCTCACCTTCCCCCTCTTACCCTCTTTTCTTAGTTCTCTAGAGCTGCTATAGTAGCAGTACCACAAATGGGTGACTTTAGCAAACAAAAATGTCTTTTCTCACAGTTTAGGAACTAGAAGATCAAATTCTGGGTGCCGGCTCAAGGGGAAGGGTTTCTCTCTCTGTCCACTCGGGAGGAAGGTTCCTTGTCTCTTCAACTTCTGCTTCTAGTATCTTGAAGATCTCCTCTTGCTTACTTGTTTAATAATCTCTTTTATGCTCACTTGTTTAATCTCTTTTATATATCAAGATGCACCCTCCACTAATCCTGCCCATTAATATAACAAAGATAACCAATTCCCAAATGAGATGATAACCACAGGCATTGTTGTTGTTAAGTTCCTTCCAGTCAGTCAGACTCATAGCGACCCTGTATAGGGTTTCCAAGGATCAGCTGGTGAGCTTGAACTGCTGACTTTGCTGTTCAAACCGACCTTGCAGTCCAGCGCATTAATCCAGAGCACCACACCAGAACTCTATCCCACAGGCATAGAGGTTAGGATTAGGAGTTAGCTCTTCAGAAGCACCTTCTCTTACCACCATAATTAAAATAAATTCAACATTATTCTTTGTCTCAACACACTAATTGTGTCCTCTGTAACTCTAATCACCATCTAGAGTTATTTTATTGCTTGCTCTCTTTTTCATCTGTATCCTTCACTGACTAGAAAACGCTCTTAGATAGCTCCATGGCTGTCTAGTTCTTGGGTTGTGTCCCTAGAGCCCTACATAGTCCCTGATATATTGAGGCACTTGATACAGTTCTCTTGAGCAGTGGATCAGTGGGTATATCCCTAAGAGGGGGAATGCCAGCTGGAAATGGTAAAATGGACTATCACCTTTCCAAAATATGCACTGTATAGTCACACCTTTGCATGGGGCAGCCCTCCCTCCTTTCTGAACGGCCCTGAATATTGGCAGCACAGAAGCCCTGGGTTTCAGTCTGCTGCTTTGGGGCAGGCTTTCTGCCCCATTACCTTTACCACCTGGATGGGACTTTGTCTTGTCAGAAAGTGGGTTTGCTTGAGCTTCCATAGGTGCTTGGTGTTTCTAGGTAGCTCTGAGATCATCTCCAGGAACTGTTTGCTGTCACCGCCATACTTGCTTTGTTGCTTAAACTAGATTAGGAAGCAGCAGAGTAGAGTGGTTAAAAATGCTGTCTTAGGGATCCGTCCAGTTCTGCCCTTACTATCTGTGTCATCCTGGGCCGGTTACTCATGATACCTAGGAATAGTATGACATTGCATTAGGTGATGCATGCAAAACAGGGAGAGTAATGGCCCCAAAGCAAATGTGTACTGTGTTAGTAGTCAATAGTAGTAATAGTGCTAGTAGCAATGCAGACATCTGTAAAAAAAAAGTAGTGTCTGCCATAAGGGATTATTTTAGAGCAAAGCAGAATGTATTAAAAGCCTACCACAGTTCCTGGCACTCAGGAAATGGGAGTGATTTTTCACATTCTCAGGGCTTATGGACAGGTCCCAATCCCCTAGCGTGACAAGGCCTTGGCTTCTCCCTACCCTCCACATGAAGCCTGCTTCCCTTAACTCTGCCTTGCCTCACAGCCAGTATGACCTTCGGGAGAACAGCAAGCACTCGGAGGTACTGATCGACCTGACAGAGTACTGTGGCCAGCTGGTGGAGGCCAAATGCCTCACCGTCAACCCCCAGGACAACAACTGCCTGGCAGTGGGGGCAAGTGGGCCCTTTGTGCGGCTCTACGACATTCGCATGATCCATAACCACAGGTATGAATGGCACAGCCTCCCCCCTGGAGACTGGACTGAGGTTGGGGCCAGGACAGTGACTCAGGGGACCTGCTGCAGCCCCTGTACCCTCTCCTTTTTGAGAATTTTTTTTTTTCAATGTTGTGACTAGAAAAAAAATTAACCCATGCTTGATTTGGAACATATGACAAGTCTAAAAGAAATTACCTGTACCCCATCACCTAAAAGAAATCACAGTGTGTGAAATTCCGTTAGCCCTTTTGCTCGGAGTGCTCTGAGAGCTTGTACATGTCATTTTTCATACATGTCATTTTATTCTACTCCTTTTTTTTTTTTAATTAAAATAGAATGTACTCAGAAGCCCCAGAACTGATCAGCATCGCCAGCCGGGGCTTTTAATGGACTCTTGGGACAGATGCAGAAATGTCTGACCTGATTTTCTTTCATTTGTGGGTCTGGGGATGGCAGCTGCTCTCAACATAACTGCATGACTTGGAGGAAGCATTGAGCCATAGCTTCCTCATCTGTAAAATGGGGATAAGAGGATGGTCCTAAGGACCAAGACAGGTTCCAGGACCTACTCTGTAAAGCAGTGTAGTGTATATGTCCCCAGCTATCTGGTTGGTGGACCTTTGGAGTTGCTTAGGTAAGGAAGGTGCCTCCTATATCTCTCTCAGGGATGCAAACTTAGGGTTTCCTTTAGGAAGTATGGCCTTGTTTAGTAAGAGGTAGTACTAGAGATTGTAATCTATATGATTTGCCTTCCTACCAGAAAGAGCATGAAGCAGAGCCCTTCGGCAGGTGTGCACACCTTCTGTGACCGGCAGAAACCCCTTCCAGATGGTGCAGTCCAGTATTACGTAGCAGGTAGGGTTCAGCCCAGCTCCAGCTCCAGCTCTAGCCCCAGACTTTCAACGCATGCTTGCCTCTTTCTGGGGCAGTGCAGGAAGGCAGCATAGCTGGCTGGTCAAGAGAAAGCATTCCACAATCAGACAGAGCTAGGTTTTAATCCTCGCTCTGATGCTGTCCAGCTGTGTGTGATCTTTGGCAAATGACTTAACTTTGCTAACCTTTAGTTTCTTTTCTGTAAAAAGTGGTAATGACTAAATGAGATAAAACCTATAAAGGAATCACACCGTCAATAAATTAACTTCATACAGGACCCTGCCCCTTTGGTGAGGACTGGGATTCTCACATGAGGGTGGTTGGGTCGCTCCCTGCAGGTCACCTTCCAGTGAAGCTGCCTGACTACAATAATCGTCTGAGAGTGCTGGTCGCCACCTACGTGACCTTCAGCCCCAATGGCACAGAGCTGCTGGTCAACATGGGAGGGGAACAGGTAGGTCTGGCTGCCTCACTACTACCCCATATCCAGCAGCCAGAGCTGTATGCCTAAAGAGAAGCAGCAGCCTCCTTGTGAGTGCTCATGACTGTGAAATGTAAGGGTGACTTGGCATTATTGGGATCCCCAGAGAGGTACCCTGGCCTAGTTTTGTCTTTTTTAAAAAAAAAATACTGGTGTGCTGTTTACTCACTCTGCACTGTGTGACTTTAAGCAAGTCTGTTCATTTTTCTGAGCCTTAGTTTCCTCATCTCTAAAGTAGTATCACAACTGTGCAGGGTGATAGATATTTAGAGAAAGATGTCTATGACATGCCCAGCTCCCAGTCCCTGGCTTCTATTGGGTGCTTATTAAATGGTAGCACTTGATAGGATTGGGTATGAATAATTAAGAACAAAGCACACTTGAAACTTGTTTTCCCCCATGACAGAAGTAGATATGCAGGTACAGATATCTCAAGTCAGAAGACATCGATTAGATAATAGGAAAGTGGCTATGCATGCCTATAGACATGAGAGTCCCAGCCCTTATGTCTGTCCATTCCCATTGCTGAAAGAGAAGCTAGGGGGAAATCCCTGGGACTCGACGCATGCAGCCAGGCTGTGCTTAAAACTCTGGGAAGTGCTCTTTGAGAATGGGAGCTTGTTAAAGCTCTGGTGTACTTGATCAGGATATTTAGTCATTCATTCTACTAACACTTATACTGAGGACTTATTCTGAGACTAAATAAGGGAGACAGATACGAACTATGTCCCACCCCCAGGCTGGCAGACAGAACATGGCAAATGTAACCGTTGGTGACATTACAAAGCAAGGTATAATTATATATGAAAGAAATGGAGTGGAGACTAGGTGAGTGCCCAAGTGCACAATAGGGCTCCAGCTTCGTGGAACTGAGCTGTCCCTTGGCCTGAAGCAGAATAAGGACCAGAGGAGAGGCAGGCTAGCAGCGTGGTTAGGAGCCAGGGTCTGGTATTAGACCCAAGTTTGGGTCCTGTCTGTGCCACATGCTGCTTCTACCACCCTGGATAAATTATGTGAACTCTTCATCTATAAAAGGGGTGAAAATAATAGTACCTCTTCACGGGAGTGGGTTCTGGGATGAAGTAAGTCATATAAAGTACTTAGGAGAGTTCTGGAACACAGTAAAGTGAGTAACACATGTTAACTCATAGTAGATAATACTCATTTACTAAGAGGAGTGACTAGGAGCGTCACTTTAATCAAGTCGCTCCCTCTCTCAGGCTTCAGTTTTCCCATCTGTAAAATGAGGCATTTGGTTTTATGACCTCTGAAAACCCTTCCAACTTGAATATGTGATTCTAGTTACTGACAATATTTCCAGTAAGGATTGTAACAGATCAGATAGTCTACCCTGAGGTCCAGGAGCTGGAAAGGTTTTCCTGCCCGAGGCTTGCTCCCAAGATACCCTCCTGCCCTGGCTTGATTGTCCAGAAGTCCTCTTTCCATGCTCATATTCACTGTGTTCCTAGACTCTGGTTCTTAAGAGCCTCCAAAGACCTTGCTAATGGTCCAGCCACAATATTACTGCACAGTCTTCATCTCTTTTCCTGGCCCCTCAACTCTAGGTCTATTTGTTTGACTTGACATATAAGCAGCGGCCGTACACCTTCCTCTTGCCTAGAAAATGCCACTCCTCAGGGGGTAAGTTCAGGGCCTAGCCCTTCTCCAGTAGGGTATCTCTGCTGACATGGGGTTGGGAACATGGGTGTGTGCTACCTCTGCTGAGAAGCCTGTCTCTTAGCCTAGACTGTGGAGATGATCTCCCAAAAAGGGTAGAGTCTCTGAAACAGCACCATCTGTTCTGTGAGAAGGAAGATAATAACAAACTGATGAGCTCTGTCAGAGGAGTTTGCATCACAACCCACCCTCACCATTTCCTTCTGAAAAGACAAGTTCTTTCCCTGGCCTACTCTTGCCCTTTTCCCCTTCTCCTCCCTGACTTCTTCCTAGAGCACCCTCTCACCCCCCACCCACCCCCCAAGGGTAATGCCAGGCTGAAGCTGTGTCCCTTGCTAACCAGCAGAGGGCACACAGGCTTTGTGCTGTTGCCTGCCTGTCTGTCAGAACTTGCTTTCTGGGAATGGCTCTTACCATGGAGAATAGCCCCAAAATGGAGTCAACACAATGATGCAGGAGGGCTGTCAAGGGGGACTGTGGACCCCTCCCGAGCTATCACTGTTCCTTTCTCCCCACCACCCCCTACCAGAAGTCCAGAATGGTAAGATGTCTACCAACGGGGTGTCCAACGGCCTACACCTTCACAGCAATGGCTTCCGGCTTCCAGAGAGTAGAGGACACATGAGGTGAGGCCAGCTGGCCCCAGTTTTACTCTGTGGACTGGAGGGAGGGGCATGTCCTGTAAGCCCTTCTGGTCTTTCCAGAGGACGGGGACTAGGGTAGAGAGGTATCTGGAGAGTGATTAGTGTACCCAGTGCTGCTTCTGCCTGCTAGGGCCTCATCCTCAGACTGAAGCTCTGATCGCTTGTGCCAGGAGCTGGAACAGATGCCCCCACCCCATTAGACTATTTTCCATCTCATAAGCAAAACGTTTGAGAGCCCAGTGGCTCCATAGGATAACCACTGGACTGCCAACCTCAAGCCCACCAGTCTCTCTGCAAGAAAAAGAGGAAACTTTCTGTTCCTGCAAAGATTTAAAAACCCTCAGAACTTTATACAGTGTAGCTATGAGTTGGAAGCATTTAGAACAACTTAACAAAGTAAAACCCTTGTGCTGGGTTTTATATATAGGAATGAGTGAGAGAGGCTCGAATTGTTTAGCCCTTGAGAGAAACAGAATTCACTATGGAGAGATCCATAGGCGGGACTTGGGTGAGCCAAAGTTCCCCTCAGCTTGGAGAGAGGTGGCTGGGACAGGTGGTATCAGCTACTCTCTTGCCAGGAGCTTGATTAAGAATTGCCTTAAGCATGTCTAAGACAGCTTAATTTCTGCCCTTCTGCTTTTCATTCTGGTCCTGTAGGCAAGAGTGTCTGGAATTATTATTACCTATGGTGTGGCGCTGTGGGAAAAAGCACTGGACCGCAAGGTTGGTTTAAACCACAAGGTCGGCAGTTCAAACTCACCAGCCACTCCTTGGAAACCCTATACAGGGTCACTATGAGTCAGAATCAACTCAATGACACTTAACAACAACAACAACAGTTATACTAACCTCCAAGGATGGTGCTGTAGGATCAGCACTGGACTGCAAACCACAAAATGGGCAGTTCAAACTCACCAGTTGCTCCTTGGAAATCCTGTACAGGGTTGCTAAGTGCAACTCAGTGGCACTTCACAACAACAACAACAACAATATCACACTAACCTCGGATAGGAACAACAGTGGTCCCCTCTTCTAGAGAGCAGTACAGATCGCAGGAGTCAAGAAAACCTGGGTGGCCCTCAGGCATAGGCTACAGACTTCCTCAGGCTACCCTATCCTTTCTTGGACACCTTGTCTTGGCTCTGCTTCCTCCACAGCCCCCAGGTAGAGCTCCCCCCATACCTGGAACATGTGAAACAGCAAGCTAATGAGGCTTTTGCCTGCCAGCAGTGGACCCAAGCAATTCAGCTTTACAGCAAGGCTGTGCAGAAGGCTCCTCACAATGCCATGCTCTACGGGAACCGAGCTGCTGCTTACATGAAGCGCAAGTGGTGAGTAGACACTGTAGAGCAGGCCTGGGAAAAGGGATGAAGTAACTGGATCAAAAGGCAGTGGGCCAAAGTTGCTGAGGCCTCCATGGAGGGTAGCAGTGACACCCTGCTGCCTCTTAGGGTTTCGGTTTCGTAGGCCCGCCAACGCCTTTCCTTCCTGCCTCCAAGCTGAGGTGGACAGGTGCCTGACCCATTAATCAGGAAGTCTCAAGTGCCAAGGAAGCTTATTACAGTTAAATTGAACAGAGATGTGTTCACAGATAACTCCAACATAGTCCTTGGGCCACTAGGGAAGTTGGAGTTGAGAGAGTGATGGGTAATCCCAGCTGTAGGAGAATTTGGACTTGAATTGGCCCTTGAATTGAAAGAGCATGGAATCTCATTAGATGGGAATGAGTTTGGTGAATTCAGTTGGTATCTATCTGAAATGATTCTGCAGCTCCTTATCCCTGGGGCCTGCTTTCTTGTGCTCTTACACCCTTTGGTCCAAGTGCATGCATGCACACGCACACAGATCCCAGAGATCTGAAGCTGGCTGTGGGTCATGCTACTACGTGGTGGCTGGGGTTAGAGGAGTTGGTTCATATCCTGAAGAACCCCTCATCTTTGAAAGGATATTAGGGCCCCAGTCCTTCTGCCTGCAGCACCAGCAGGCAAGCAGGCAGGCAGGCAGACCCCCATCCTCCAGGCAGGGCCAGGACTAGAGATGGATAGAGCTGGGCCCACAGCCATTTCTGCTCCGTCTGGCATCCGTTAGCTCTGCCCAGACAGACAGGACAGCTGGTGTGCCATCGTCTGGCTATAACCAGGCAGGCCAAAGAAGGAAGCTTAAGAAACCCACCCAAGTCAGCAGGGATAGTGGGTGGGGGTTTGGGAAGATGCTACCACCACAAGCCTTAGCCCAGGCATCAGAAGTTTGCCAAGAGCTCCAGTGCAGCCAAACCCAGGAGATGACTGCTTTGGGGCCATCTTAGTGTTTTGCCTCTCTGTCCCAACAATTGGATGGAATGCAGTGATTCTCATCCAGCCTTCGAGCTATGCTTCACTCCTGCATCCTCCCTAAGAGGCTAATGATTTCCCAGTCCATCCCTCAACATGTTCTTTGAATTCCTGCTATGTGCTGGGACACCAAGTTCTGTCACTCTGGGTTTCTCTATGCTCCAGAATGCCCAGCCTCTGGCCAGGGGATAAAGACACACGCACAGCTCAGCCTAAAAGAGGCAGAAAGCAGTATATCTTGTGAGTTGTTCAGGTAGAGTGCTGTGGGCATCAAGAAAAAGTTAGGTCGCTTTAACTGAGGATCAGTGAATCACCAGGAAGATGTGGTGTCTGAATGGGCTTTAAGTTTGGGCAGGTTTAGACAAGGAGATGGAGGGAGAGGACTGTGGGGGAAGGACATTCCAGGGATCTGAAATAGTATGAACAAAGGCATGGGGGTGGGGAACTGATTGAAGAGCTTGTTTGCAGAACAACAAATCCATTTGGCTGGAGCAGAGGGTTCAGGAAGGCACTGGCAGGAGATGAGTGTGTAAGGTAGTCTGGGGCCGGCCTGGGAAGGGCTTGGAATGCAGAGCGGTGGCAGTTGGCCTCTAGTCAGGGAATGATGGGCAGCTAGCTACTGGAGAGTTGTGAGCAGGAGAGGACTGTGATAAGGACTGTCCTTCCAGGGAGATTGATCTGACAGTGAGTCTAGCATAGGTGAGCCCTGGGGCCAGCCTGCTTTCTCTCCATCCCCACATGCCTGCCAGTGACCCCGAGAATGTGACATTCTGTCCCAGGCCAGTCTCCCTAGGACTGCTCTTGGATGCAGCAGGAGCTGGTCTCTGGTCATCTCCCTGTCCCCAGGAGCTCCAAGGGACACCTTGTAGACAGTAATTGGGTTTTCGAGCAACTTCTGCTTCTTCATCACAGCCACTCATTCTGACTCAGGCCACACCATCAAAGGCTCTCTGCCCACCTGTCCCACACTGGCCAAGCTGCCTGTTCCTGGTCTCAGTGTCTCAGTGTGGCTGCTTCAATGGCTGATGCGTAGGAGAGGGGAGTCAGCAGGAGCATTCTCGTGTCAGTCTTGTCTTGGTCCTATGCAGGAGACTTGTGACCTGTGCCCTCAGTGGAAGGATCATTGGGGAATGTTACTTGACACCATTGGGTCTTAGACCCACCCCTAGATCAACAGGAAAAAACAAACAAACAGAAACATCAGCTTCTAAATGAGAAGTGGCTTCTGTGAGCTGCCTGGCTCTCCAGATGAGGCAGGGACAGGACTGGGGCTGCTGGGGGAGTGTGTGTCCTGTATTCTGCCAGAGTGGAGAAGGAGGGGCTTCTCCTTTAACCTTCTCCCCATTTCTTCCCTCCACCTCCCCACCCCCCCACCAAGAAAACAACAAGCCCACTTCCCTTATCCATATGTTTCCGGTGGTTGGAAGAGTGGGAAGGATTTGGAACTCCTGGCGTTCACACCCCCTCTTGCCATCAACTTCCAGAGAGCTGACTCTGCCAGACGTCAGGCCCTATCCTCTAGCCCCAGGAGGTAGAGGCCACAGCTGCTGTGGATCAGTCAGCCAGGACAGACGGGGGTCTGGCAGAGGGCTTGCTGCCTGCTGGTCAAACCCTGAGTCCCCAGCCTGGCACTTCTGGCTTTCCCAGACCACAGAACTGTCCTTGAGGGCCCCCTGCCTTGGACATGGCTTTGAAGGCCAGCCGGGGGTGAAGGATTTGAGGAGGTAGATGGAAGAGCGAAGGCGGGCTCGGGGAGTCAGAGATGGGCAAAATGCCAGGCCTTCTGCTGCAGAGCTGCGGGTTCCCGGGGTGAGTGGGTACACAGTTACACCTTGTACCCAGCAGAGGGCATCCTGACACCGGTTTTTGCCAGCCCCCAAGCCCTCTAGTGCCCTGGCCTGCCTCAACATTCTCTAGATCCTGGAAAGGGACACCAGGGCCAGGATTCTCTCCATCCCCAAGTTCTCTTACCCTGAGACCTGTCAGAGATGGACTGGGGTGATCACAGGCAAGACAGGAGACTGAGTGGGGACCCCGTGCTTGCCTTGTGGCTCTACCACCAAGCCACACTTTCTGCCTCCCCAGGGATGGTGACCACTATGATGCTCTGAGGGACTGCCTCAAGGCCATCTCCCTAAACCCATGCCATCTGAAGGCGCACTTCCGCCTGGCCCGCTGCCTCTTTGAGCTCAAGTACGTGGCTGAGGCACTGGAGTGCCTGGATGACTTCAAAGGGAAGTTCCCGGAGCAGGCCCACAGCAGTGCTTGTGATGCACTGGGCCGTGACATCACCGCTGCCCTCTTCTCCAAAAGTGATGGTGGTGAGTGGACAGTGAGGAGGGGCTGCTGTCCCTCTATTTGGGGTGCTGCATGACATTCTGGAAAGAACATGGTTCTGAAAATGGAGAAGCCTGGGTTCAAATGCTGATTCAGAAACCATGTGACCTTTGGACAGCCACTCAACTGTCAAGACTCACTTTCCTCATCTGAAAAGAAAAATGGTAGCACCTCATGTTCAGAGTTTCTATTGAGGATTGGCAGTAACATATTTTTAAAACCTAGTAAAGTGCCTCGTACTCAGGATAGGAGTAAACTGAGCACAGACCGATCACATGGGTTCCAGTTGGATATTCACAGCTGCTCATAGACAGGCCCCTCCACTTGGCCATCCGAGTAAGGGCCAGCAGCTGATTGTTAAGCTTGTTCCAGTCTACGCAAGTGCAGCAGGAACGAGATTCAGGGCAGTGGAAGTGGGCTGTGGAGCCTCAGGTCTACCTTGTGGTAACTGTGTGACCTTGGGAAAAGCACAGCCTCTCTGAACTCACTGACTTAACTGCACAAAGAGCACAGGAAGCCCCCCCCCACCACCACCCCTTGCCCAAGTCCCTCTATCTGGTTGCAGAGAGAGCTGGGGAGTTGTAGTGTGGTCTGTAGTAGACTTGATCCTCACCTCTCCCCTTGTGACAGGTTGTTTTATATAATGAATAGTTCTCAAGCGCTTGCCATGTGTCAGGCACTGTGTTGGGGACCTGAGAATACAGCTGGGTACAAGTCAGCCAAGAAGTCTGTGTCCATGGAAGTTACAGCCTAGTAAAGGGCCCACAAGTAGAGGAGACAGTGTGGAGAGTGCTGGGGGCCTGAGACTGTGAATGGGGGAGGGGCTGGTGGAAGTCAGGGGGTCCTGGGAAAGAAACTCTAAAGATGAGGAAGAAGAGTTAAGTGGTTACAGTGTGCGGCGGTGTGAGGTAGAGTTCCCAGCAAAGGGACCAGCATGTACACAGGCCCTGAAGCAGGAGACAACAGCCACTGTTTTAAGGAACTGAGAAAGGTAGTAAGATTCTTACCCAAGTCACTGAACCGATCAGAGCCTCAGTTGGAATTCATAACAACTTGTCTTCCAGAAAGCAAGGGCTTGGACTTTACTGTCATAAGTAAAAACACCCTTTCAAGGCTCTGTGCGCCAGTCCCTCACCCTTCCCTCCTATACCTCTCACCTCCACAGGTCCTTGGGGCTCAAGGACCTTTACTAAGAGACCTGGGCAAAGCCCTTGCCCTAGTATCAAAGGTCTCTTCTTAAACATCCTCAAGGGTCAGATGCAAAGATGAGTCTTCCCCACCCTAGTTTTCCAGGGTAGAGGTGGAGACAGGTAGCCCTGTATTGCCAGTACTTGGGTTGGGAAAAAGATTGGGTGGGGTTTGTGTAAGAAGAACAAGAGTTTCACCTTTCTTTGATCTCTGCCCCCAGAAGAGAAGAAGGGAGCTGGGGGGGGCGGCCCAGTCCGCCTTCGCAGCACAAGCCGCAAGGACTCCATCTCAGAGGATGAGGTGGTGCTGCGGGAACGAAGCTACGACTATCAGTTCCGCTACTGTGGCCACTGCAATACCACCACGGATATCAAGGAGGCCAATTTCTTCGGCAGGTCTGCAGCAGGAGCTTGGGGCTGGTGGCATGGGAGTGTAATGCTTTTATAAAAGTCACAGAGCCCAGCTCTGCCTCTGTGCCCTTGGGCAAATGGCCTCACCTCTGTTAGCCTCAGTGTCTTCTGTAAAATGCAATTAGCCAGACCCACTTGTGGGGCCATAATGAAAACTAATGAGATAAAATGCAAGTCAGGCATCCAGCACAGTGCCTGGCATATCCCTTCACTCTGGCCTCCTCCTCTGTCTGCATGGGCCAGAGCTTGGGTTTTTATCTGAAGGCTTGGAACCTCCTCCCTCTGCTGGGATTTAAGGCATGAGCCCTTAGAGATGGGGAACCTTGGCACACCTATTGTGTGCTCAGTACTATGCCCAGGTACTATCACCCCCAACCCTATTTTGTAGATGTTTGCACTTTCCTTGGGTACATGAGACACATAAAGAGCAATCAAGAATCTCTGCTTCAAGGGCTCTTCTAAACATCACAGTGCATGATGGACAGGCATACTGTAGAATGTGGAGGTCTGGACCTAGGAAGGCTAGGACTTGCCAGGGAAGGCTTAGATAAGGGTGTTCCCAAGACATATGAGGTGGAAGATCTGCTCCGAACATTATGGTGTATTGTGGGGGACAGCGTCTTGAAGGGACTCCTGACTCTGTAGTGCAAAGGGGGTGGGGTTCAGTGCCTGGGGGTTCTGAGTCAAGTGAAGACCGCTGAGTATGGGAGCCTGGGAGGCGCAGACTTCCCTGCTCCTCCCTGCCCTAAGCCATGTAGCCTGTCCTTGAGTCTGTAGGGCAGTACTTCACCTGACCTCCCTGCCCTTTGCCCCCCTGCCAGCAATGCTCAGTACATCATCAGTGGCTCTGATGATGGCTCCTTCTTCATCTGGGAAAAGGAGACCACCAACCTAGTCCGCGTGCTTCAGGGAGATGAGTCCATCGTTAACTGCCTGCAGCCACACCCCAGCTACTGCTTCCTGGCCACCAGCGGTATTGACCCTGTCGTACGGCTCTGGAATCCCCGACCAGAGGTGAGGGTTCAGGTGAGGCGGCCAGAGCCAGATAGGGAGGATGGTAGAGAACCCTATACAAGGCCTCCACCTGGACCTGTGAGAGCTGGAAAAGGAAACCAGTCAGGCAGAGGCTGGAAGTTGCAGGGAGGAGTAGCTCTTCTGTCCACTGCAAATGCAGTGGAACAACAGTGCTGCTGCCCTCTGGTAGCATATGACTGAACTAGCCATAAAGATGGGACTTAATGCAGGAAACCATAACCTAGGACAAAGGATACAGGAAGGAGAGAAAGGAAGAGAGTAGCTCCAACTCTGCCTCAAGAGAAGGGTCCGTCTCCCACATGCTGTGTGTGTGTCCCCAGAAGCTGTGCAGAGGCCAGCCCCTCAGTCACGTGGGCAGTATGCAGGCTTTAGGAGTCTGGTGGGCCCCTTCACTCACTGCCTGCAGGATTTAACCATTCCTGATCCAGGTTTATCATCTGCACTTTGGGAATGGAAATGATAGCACCACCTCAAAAGGTTGCTGTAAAGCAGGGATGGGGAACGGTTGGCTCTTCGGCCATATAAAGCCCTCGAAATCGTTTGGTCTGACCCTGCCAAGGCAATGGCAGTTCCAGCCATCACGTTAGGAGTGAGTTGATGAAATGTTTGACCAAATATAGCAGGCTAATTTTTAAGTTGATAATTTTGTATTGCCTGTGAATGATGTTATAAATTTTGGCAGATAGAAGGTTCCCCACCCATACTGCAAAGACTACACAAGTGATGCCTGTGAACTGTCTGATCCACAGGGACTCAGGACAGTGGGGTTCCTTCCACTCCCTGTGTGGCTAGGCAAACAAAACTGCCAAGGCCTCCCCAGTCTCACCCCTGTGTCTCACCCCCTCCCGCTTCTCAGCTGGCAAAGCAGAAGTCAAATGGTGGGCTAATGATCCCAGAGGTAACTTACTGTGACTTCTGAAGAGAGGACTCTACAGGCCCCTCCCTGGAGGATTTGAGAGTGGCAACAGAATAGAAGTGACCTGACTCCTTATAGCCCAGCATGTGTGCCCTGTGTGTGCTTTCCCTCATGTATAATGACTGCAGTCCAGGGTGGTACTGTGGGTGTCCCCCATGGATCTCCCAGCATGGGTGTTCCCCTCCCCCACATGCACTGACATCCCTGCCATATGTATAGCTCAGTCTCCATGCCTCCTCTGTACACATTTCCCAGGGTGTTCTCAGAAACCCTGGTGTCTCCCCACATGCCTTCTCTTTCCTTCACCCCCACAGAGTGAAGACCTCACAGGCCGAGTTGTGGAGGACATGGAGGGCGCTTCTCAGGCTAACCAGCGGCGCATGAATGCCGACCCGCTGGAAGTGATGCTGCTCAACATGGGCTACCGGATCACAGGCCTGAGCAGTGGGGGGGCTGGGGCCTCCGATGATGAGGACAGCTCTGAGGGCCAGGTGCAGTGCCGGCCCAGCTAGACCCTCCCAGCCCTGGCCCCGGCCCCTACTACTGGCTGGACCCTCCGCCCTGGGCAGGAGGTCAGGGGGTTCTGTTTTGGTTTGTCTTCCCATCCCACCCCACACCTGGTTTTTTGTGGGTTGTTTTGTTTTTTGTTTTTTTCATTTCCCCAGTTTTGTTTGTTAGTTTGGCATTGGGGGTGGGGGTTACTAGAACTTGCTGGCTTTCCAACTCTTGGGCTGATTGCCCCTTGACTGTCCCCAGCCCAGAAGAGCAGGAGGGAAAGCCCCACCTGTGACCCTCACCACCTGCACCCATGTCCCTGGAGGGCTCTGACTTGTCTCAAACCCCCTGCCTCAGCTGGGGACAGGGGCTGCAGCGATCTTCAGGAATTGCCCTGCCCTCCCTCCCCTTGGAATTCCCAGTGCGGAAAGGGCTAGCCTTGACCTGTTGACATTCTTCCTCCCAGCCTGGCCAGTGAAGTTTGCTCCCCTGTGGTCTTCAGGGAAGGTTCTGAAAAAGGACCAGGGCCCCACCTTCCCTCCAGAGCCAGCAGTGTGGGTGGAAGCAGAAGGGCAGGCCAGGCCACCTGCCCTGGTTGCAGCAGAGCCACCTTGCCCTTTGGCCCATGCCACACTGACTCTGGACCCTGCACCTGCTCTCACTGGCCACCTCTGGAGGCTCAGCCTTTCCCAAGGGCCCTGGCAGAGGTGGGGCACTGCACCATACCCCACCACCCATACCAGCCCGTCCACACTACGGCCACTCTCTGGGCGCTCCTCGGCCTCACTGTGACCTTTCTGCCAGAGCTCCCAGCCAGGCCTACTCCTGCTAAGGGCCCTGCCCTGCCCTTCCTGCCCTCCTCCCATCCCGAGGCTGAGCCGCCACAAAGACCAAAGAAGTGATGGCTTTCCTCTGTCCCCTGCTGCTCTGGGGGGAGGGGGGTAGGTCTCCTGAGCCACGCAGATGGGAAAGTCCCCAACTCCACCCCTCCCTCCTCGGCAGCCCAAGCTTTACACTGGATGCAGCGGTCACCCCACCACTCACCGAGCCTCCCCTTCCCTCGGCCCCTTGGCTCTCAGCTCTGGAGCTGCTCATGGTTGTCCATTCATCCTTCCTCCCCTCCCCCTCCCCTCAGTGCTTACTAGGTTCCAGCCCTCCAGCTGCAGCCTCTGGGGATAAGCAGCCTCTCTTCTTTCCGCCCAGCCCCCCCACCACCACCCCCACCACCCCCCCAGCCCCTGTCTGTGCCAGGTGCCTCCTCTCAGTCAGGCTTCTGAGCAGCCCTGGAGACAGGAGGGCCATGTTAAAAGCTTTTTCACAGTTTTAAGAAGATGGGGTAGGGGTGAGGGTAGTGGTGGGGGGTCTGGCACCATCTCTTTATTGCTTTAATCCCAGCAACACAGGTGGCAGCTTCTCCCCCTTCCTCCCCACCCCAGTCCCTCTTCCCAGCCCTCTCTCTTCTCGCTTGGTAATGAAGTATATTTATTGGTGAAGGAAACAGCTGCTGCTGCTGCTCCTGCTGCTGGGACTTGCTCCCCTGTCTCTCCTCCATGACCTTTCTCTAGCCAGGGAGGAGAGAGTGGGAGTCGTCAGGCTGGGTCCAGGGGCCCAGGGACCAGCCTGGAGCCACTTAGCTTTCCTGTGTGTGAACCACCTGCCATTCCCTCCCTCCGACCCTCCCTCCTTCCCACCCGCCTGGGCCCTGCAGTGTGGAGAGACACAGAAGCCTTACTGTCCTCTGGGGGCAGGAGCCCAGCCTTTTTGTTGCTCTGCTCCCAGGAGAGTGAGGGTGACGCAATTGATTAAAACCATTTTGTTCTAGGTGTGGCTGGTGGCATTTGTGGGGAACAGAGGATCTTGGGAACCTAGTGTGGGTACCTGACCTTGATCAGGTTGAAGCTGCTCCCTCAGCCCTGTAGCTCTGTGACTTTGACTTACTGCTCCCCTCCCCTCTGTGGGGGTGAAGGAGGCCGGCCTGTAGCATCACTGTGAGCAGTGGTCCCAGCACTGGGGGCTGTGATTTGCAGTTATCTGCTTTCACTCTGTAAATAAGAGGGTTGGAGTCTCAGTGGCTTTTCCTTTTTCTTTTTTTTTTTTTTAACCAGAACCCAAGCAAGAAACAGACATTTTACTTTGTGAACCAAGGTACTGAGCAAAAGTTCTACACAATGATACTTAACCCTTACTACATTTTATTAACTGATCTTTATCAATCTTTTTCTTAGGGGGGGGAATAGTTGTGACCCACTAAATTGATTTCATAACCTACAGTTTGATGTGCCCTGGACTAGATGAGACCTTAAACCCCAAGTTCCCAAACTCCCAACTTTCAGGACTGTTAGTGTCACAAGAATTTTTCTTATGGGGCCCCTATGCACCCCCAAAAAGACTCAACAGTTCCATGTATTAAATAGTTAAGTCCAAACTACTTGACAAATATCTGTGTCCTAACAGTTGTCTGGAAAAATAATGCACATAAATTGAAAGAAATGATTTCTATTTTATTCTTAATAACTATAATTACTTATTAATGGCATCTGTGCACCTGTTGGGTATGGCACAGTTTCTCAAGCTTTCACATCACATTGGACACCACCACCCTCATCCCCTAGTCCACAGTGACTTTTACTTCCAACAATCACCACCAAATCCAGTTCCTTAGAGACGGTGTAATCGAAAGGCATGTATCGCAACTTAATGAGGAAACTGAACTATCCTGCACCGGTAGTTCTCTCAGTAGCCAGCAGATGTTAAGTGTATCTCAAATTTAAAATAACCTATTGTGGCTCCTGTGGATTTTCTGCGGTACCCTATGGCGTCTTGATGCACAGTGTGGGAAGTGTGATCCAGGACGGTGCTTCAGGACATTTTCACTACTAAACCCTTGTGACTCTTCTATTTGTACATTTGGAAACAGCTAGATTGGGGTCAGGAGGATGTATAAGATAGGAGACAGACAGGAAAGAGGTTCTGCCAAAAGCACAGTAGGTGGTGGTATGAAGCAGATGCTGTGAGTTGTTCTTGTGTGTTCCAAAATGGAAGTCTGAGACAGCTTCTTCAAGAAATGCCCGGATCAGAAAGGGAAGGGACAGTGTTCCAGATTCTTTCAGGAACACTGAGTGGTCACCTGTGGCTGAATCTTAAAGGATGTGGTGTCCGGGGGACTTGATCCTGTAGGCACAGCAGAGCCACTGGAAGACACCAGAGGTCTCCTTTTATTTGGAGTTGATCCTTTTTTTTTTTTTTTTTTTTTTGATAGACTTTAGTTTTAGGTTTACAAAAAATTGAGCAGATAATACAGGGTTCTCATATATTCCCTCTTCCCTTCTCCCTCACCCCACCCCACAGTTCCTCCTCATAAAAATCCAAAAGTCTATTGCCATCAAGTCTGTTCTGAACCATCAGGACAAAGTGGAACTGCCCCAGAGGGTTTCCAGAGCTGTAATCTTTACAAAAGCAGATTACCACATCTTTCCCCCACAGACCCACTGGTGGGTTCAAACTGCCAGCCTTTCAGTGGGCAGCTGAGCACTTGAACCATTTTGCCACCAGGGCTCCGTAACTTCTTGCATGTTGTATATTTGCATTATATAGTGTATTTTCTATAACTGGTGAGCCAATCAGTACATTATAACCTAAATCTATAGAGCTAGTTTCTCTGAGTTTTGACAAATACATAGAGTCATGTAAACACCATTGCAGTATCACACAGAATAGTTTCACTGATGTAAAAATGCTGTGTCTCCACCTATTCATCTTCCATTAGCACACACATTCCTGAAAATGTACTTAGGAATAAATCTCACAAAATACAAGATCTCTGAGGAAAACAACTATGGTGAAAGAAAAAAAAATAGACATTTCATGTCCATGGATAGGAAGACTTAGTACCATTAAGATGTCAGTCCTTCCAAACTTGATCTATAAATTCAATGCAAATTCCAGTCAGAATACTAGCAAATGATTATGTGGCTATCAAGAACCTGACTGACTCTCAAACTTGTATGGAAAAGGCGGCAGAACAAGAAGAGGCAGCATAGCACTGACAACAGAAGTGGAGAACTGGTACTACCTGACTTCAGTACTCTAAAGGTTCAGTAACCCAGACACGGTGGCGGTGAAAGAACAGACAAATAGAGGAATGGGGCAGAATAAAGAACCTAGAAACAGACCCACACAAATATCAACTGAGCTTTGACAAAGAGTCAAGGGCAATCCAATAAAGAAGGGATATTCTTTTCAACAAATCACGCTGGAACAACTGGACATCCACAGGCAAAAGATGAATCTAGACATCAGCCTCAGTGTTCATTAAAAATATATATATATGCGGGTGGGGGGGTGGGGAGCAGCTCATAGACCTAAATGTAACAAAATTATAAACTAGAAGATGATATAGGAGAAAATCTAGATGACCTTAAGTGTGGCAATGAATTTTTAGATACAACACCAAGAAAAAGTTGACAAGTTGGACTTCATTAAAAAATTTCTGCTCTGCAAAAGACATTAAGAATAAAAAGGCAAGCCACAGACTAGGAAAAATACTTGCAAAACAATCTGATAAAGGATTTGTTTGTAAAATACCATTACATATATTTTTTAAATACACTGTAACCATAAGAAGACAGTCTAATTTTTAAGTGGGTAAATTATCTGACATTAGGAAATTACAAATCAAAATAAGATGATGCCACTATCCACCTTTTGTTAAGGTCAGTTCCAACTCATAGTAACCCTGTATAGGATTTCTGAGGAGCGGCTGGTGAGTTTGAACTGCAGAGCCTGAAGTTGGTAGTCTGACAGTCCAGTGCTTATCCTACAGCACCACCATGGGGGGGGAGGGGCGGGGAGAATGACAGTACCCCTATTGGCAAGGATATGGAGCAATAAGAACTCATTACTTGTAGGAATGCAAAGTAAAGTGCTACAACCACTTGAAAACAATTGAGCAGTTTCTTACAGAACTTTCCATAGGATCCAGCAGGTGTGCTTCTGGTATTTACCCCAAACCAAACCC